GCTCTGGAAACGGGCTACTTTTCATTGGGACACCCTGTATTTTATTTAATAACAATACATGCTTATACAATTCTATAAACACGCATAAATTATAAAAAACGATTTAATATTAAGTGTATTATAAGTTTGTGCAATATAGTTTAACCCTGTAATGCATGAATTTTTTTGTGCAGTAAAAAAATTCTTGGAAATGTAATTCGTTAATTAAACGTGAAATTATAATAGTAAAAAGTAATTTTGATGTTGATATTACCTGTTACAGGTAAAAAAAGATAGTCCGCCTACAGGCGGACCTGTGCATTCCTAGTCAGTTAAAATGGGGACAGGGAAATGTAGAAATAATGTAAAAATTTTAAATGTATATTTCAAATAATTATACAATACAACTACTTATTGTGAAAATCAAAAAAACATGTTTTTGTTGTAGAATTGCACAAGTTAAGATTGCACTTTGTACAAAATGCTTGGGTTTCCGAAATGCATTTGGGAAATTTGCACTGCTTTTTTCCCGTTCTATCTCTGAATATACACCAGTGTCCCACTGCATCGTAACGAATATCCTCTGTAGGAAAGTATGCCCTTTTGGGGGGCGTTGGAGATGCTCTTGGCGATGAAGATGATGGCCGTCCGACGCTCCTTTTCTGCAGTTCTTGTCCATGTAGACAAAGCGATTCTGCGACTTGGGTTCTAAAAACGGGGAGCTCAACTTTTTTCTCCTTTTCTGGATGAACGCGGTGGTATAGTATATAAGCATTTACCATTGCAATGTCCAGAAGATGGTAAAATATACGGTTTGACCATTTACGGGTCTTCATACGAATATGATATCGTCCAATGAGTCCGTCCATCAAGTCAACACCACCCATATGCCGATTATATTCTGTTATAATATGTGGGCAATCAATTTCATATTGCTTTTTTTCTTTTTTATCCCATCGAGTGACAGAAAGAAGATGTTTGGCCTGAATGGCCAGCCCCCCAACCGTCAGGCATAGGGCTTGATACCCGCTATCTAGTGAATCCACTGCCAAGAGAACCCATCCCATCTCCGCACTCCAAAAATGAGCGGGGAAGAAGACCGTTTCGCTTGTGCTTTATTGTTTAATAGTTTGTACATTACATTTTTCATTTTACATTTTTACAATTTTATATTTTCATTTGTTTTGTTGTACATTGATAGATATCCCTTGTTTTATTCTATCTTGCAAGATAGTTTAATTTTAAGAAGGGTACGGGCGAAATAATAGGTTACAGTAAGTGTAAAATAAATATATAACAAATGCTAAAATTAATTTGGGTTCCAGGTTAGCACATAACCCAAGTCACCAAACCACTATTTTTGTTCCGATTATTATATTTTTGTTTTGTTTTTAGTCTGCATCTATGTCTTCGTCCTTTATCATCTTGTCTGCCCACTCGTTTGTCCAGTTAGCAAGATCTGTGTCTGTAAGGTCCATGTCGTGTGGCAGGTAGTCTAGTCCTCTACTTTGTAATTTTCGTGTCATTTGTGTCCTGGCAGTTTGTCTGTCGTGTTCGTTGCAGTCGTATATGATGTGTCTTGTGTCTTCTGTTTCGTCGTCTATGTCGCATGTCCCGTCTGTGTCGCGTAGTCTGAACCTGTGTAGGTATTCGTTCGTGTTTCCGTGTCCAGTTAGTAGTTGTATAGTTTTTCTTTTAAGTTGTAGGTATTTGTGTCGTACTGTCTTTATGTTGTTATGGGTGGTTCGTCCTGTGATTCCGTTGGTCCATGTGTCTTGCCATAGTGTCATGATCATGTCGTGTCTTTTTTTGCGTATGTCTGTTTTGTCTTTGTATTGTATGGTTTGTGTGTGATTGTTGTGTGCTTCGTCCGCGAGTTTGTGGGCGCGTTTTGCCCCTACTGTTGATCTGTTTTCATGGTTGAATTTTATATTGATGTTGTTGTTTTTCGCTAGTTGTGTAAGTTGTTGTATTTCAGTTACTAGTTTTTGTCTTGTGTTGTATTTAGATAGAGAAGCTAAAGTGTTTGTTGAGTCCGTGTAAATTTGTATGTTTTGGTCGGTGTACTGTCTGAGGTTATTTACGATGTGCTTTACTGCGTGTAGGGTCCCTATGGTTTCTAATGTGTTGATGTCTTTGGTTGTGTTTACTTTTATTTTTATATCTGTGTTTGTGTGGTTGTGTGTGATCGCTATGGCTATTGTCTTGCTGTCATTTTTGGTACTAGCGTCCGTGTGTATTGTGGTGTGAGTCGTATCTCTGTGTTGTCCTATTGGTAGATGTCTGTGTGCAGGGTGTGGTTTGTCTGTGGTTTTGTTTCTGTTTAGTATAATGTCGTCATGGTAGGTTGTGTATGTGTAATTGTTTGCTCCTGCGTCTGCTGCCAGCGGAGGTACTCCAGCCAACACAGGCAGCGTTAAGTTCGGTGTAGTTTTGTAAGCTTTTGTAATTCGTAGCAAAAAAGGTCTCTCTGTCGCGTGTAAATGTCGTGTTATTCGTGTGTCTTTATGTCTATGTCCCCATATCTCTGATCCGTATAATATCATAGGTTTGATTCCATGTTCGTAGATGTATCTAAGTATGTCCGGTCTGCGTCCCCAGTTTCGTCCTGTTATTGCGTAAAGTTTGTTCGAGATATCTGTTGCTTTTTGTCTTGTCCGTTTTATATGTTCTATCCATGTCAGTTTACTGTCTATTGTTAGTCCGAGGTATGTTATTGTGTCATTTATTTGTAGGTTTTGGCCGTCTTCTGTTAGTCTTGGTGGTCTGGTTGGTTTGTAGGGTATGAACATTGTCTCTGTTTTTGTAGTGTTGTAAGTTAGTTTGTTTTGGTTTGCCCATTGTTTACATTTTTCCCATGTCCTGTCCCATTTGTTTTCGAGTTGTTTAAGTGATGTCCCCCCCAGTATTAAAATTTGGTCGTCTGCATACGCTTGTGTCAGGTCAGTGTCGGTTGTAATTTCGTCTAAGCTGTCGAACCAATCCTCCATTATCAGTAGCCAGAGGATTGGCCCTAGGCTTGAGCCTTGGGGGCATCCTCTGTCTGTCTTGTCTATGATGTCCTCTGTCTGTATTTGTCTGTCTTGTAAAAAGTTTATGCAGGTTTTGGCCAGTTTCGTTGGTACGTTTCGTCTTTGTAACATGTCTGCAATTTTCGGTGTCCAAGCGGTGTTAAATGCGTTTTTTAGGTCCAGAGTGATTACTATTGTGTGTCTTTTGTTTTTTGTATTTTCCCTGATTTTGTTTGTCACGTTGTGTATGGCGTCTATCGTTGTCCTCCCCTCCCTAAATCCGTATTGTCTGTCGTTAAGTCCGTCTGTTGTTTCAAGGTGATGTGTTAGTCTTCGTGCCAGGATTTTGTCGAGTACTTTGCCCATAGCGGGCAGTAGGCATATGGGTCTTTGTCCTCCGTCCTTTTTTTTGAGCCACGTCATGTCTGCTGCCTTCCATGTCTTTGGGAAAGTTCCGTTGTCGAGGCAGTCGTTGTATATGTCGTGTAGTATGTCGTCGTTTATGTCGTTTATTATGTCTAGTGTTTCCTTATTTAGTCCGTCGTTTGCCGTTGCTTTATTTGATTTCATGTCTGTCAGTGTGTTTTTTATTTCTGTTTTCGTTATGTTTGGTTCTGGTCTGTGATTTGCGAATGTGTTAAGGTTTTGTCTTAGTGTATGTTGTTCGTGTGTGTCTTCGTCAATGTTGTCTGTGGGGAAGTATTTTCTGTGCAAATATTTAATTGTATCTTTTCTGTCTTTAGTCCATGTACCGTCTTCTGTCTTTAATGTTGTTAGTATGTTGGGTTGTGCATGTTTGCTCTTTATTATTTTGTAGGCTGTCTCCCACGGGTTGTTTGGGTCGTTGTTTGTCAGGGTTTGTCTTAGTGATTGTCTTTTGTGGTGTTTTATTTTATTTTTGTAAATTCGTCTTTGTCTTATGTATGCGTCGTGTTTCATTTGTCTTAGTTGTTCGTTTTGTTCCAATTGGTAGATTTTTCGTCTTTTGTTTGTTTCTTGTCTTGCTTTGTCGAGGTCTTCTGTCCACCATGTTTGTGTTGGTTTTTGTCTTTGTATTGTACGGGTTGTTATACTTTTTGTGAGAATTTGTTGGCATTTATATTGCGTTTCTTCTGCGTGTTTGTGTATGTTTCCCTCCGCATTTGTCCAGTCCGTGTTTTCTATCTCGTGTTTGAGTGTGTTTTTGTTTAGTTTTGTTAGGTTGAATGTGAGTTTATCCTTCTGTGTGCGTTTGTGTTTAGTTTTGTCTGTATTGTATGTTATGTATTGGTGGTCGCTTAGTGTGTCTTCGTCTGATACGTTCCAGTCGTGTATGTCTGTGTCCTTTGTTATGGTTAGGTCTACCCAGCTTTTCCCTCTGTTTGAGTTGAATGTCGGCGGGCTGTCGTGTGTATTGTTAATAGTCATGTCGTGTTGCACTGCCCATGTCATTATGTCTTCCCCCCTTACGTCTGTGATTTGTCCCCCCCAGCTGGCGTTTTTGGCGTTCATGTCCCCCCCTAGTATGATTTTTGTCGTGCAGTCACTGATTTTTCGTTTGTGTTTGTTGAGTCTATGGTTCGTGTCACCTCCCGGTTCGTCGTAAATGTTAATAATTGTTATGTGTGTTGTGGTGTTTGCTTGTATGGAGATTGTCGTGGTATTGTTGTCTGTCATGTCATTGTGTAAGATGGCTTTATTTGCCCAGTTTTGGTGTAGAAGTATGGGCGCTTTGCTGTCTTTGTTGAGTATGTTGTACGTGTGTTGTCCATTCAGTGTGTTTGCGGGTTCTTGTATGAGTCCTATGTCTATTTGTTCTGACGTCATTTTCTTAATGAGTTGATCTCCCGCCTGAATACCCCGTCCCATGTTAAATTGGATGAATTTCATTGTCAATGTTATTTATAAAGCCCCTTTTGTTTGAGTTGGTTTGTTTGGTCTTGTCTTTGTGTGTTTGTGAGTTTTGTGTTGTTTGTTTTGTTTGTTTGTTTGTTTGTTTGTTAGTTTGTGTGTTGTTTGTTTTGTCCCCACCTATCTGTAAACTGTTTGTGACCGCGCTTCGTCCATTTTTTTGTCGTATATTGGGCAGTTAGTGTCTCTTGCTTGGTGTCCTCGTGGTTGTAGTCTCAGTCGTTCACAGTTTATACAGTTGTAAATGTCCTTGTCGCAGGCGTTGCCGTCGTGTCCATCTCCACACTTGTAGCATGTCGGTGTCGTTTCGCGGCAGTATTTGGAGACGTGTCCGTATCTGCAGCAACGCAAACATAATGCTACTTGTGTCGCTTCGTTGATATAAATTGTCTGGAAGTCGATGTAAACTTTTCCCGATTTCAATAAATGTTTGACAATGTCGCTGGGCCCTTTTATGTACACGTTCTCCTTATAAGGATTTCTGCAAGGTCTGGTTGATACTGTTGTAATTAGTTGTAGTCTGTCTCCAAATAGTCTTTCTAGGTCGTCATTTTCTGTCTTTAGTGCGTCGGTTAGTTCTTCGTGTGTCATTGCCTTTCTTAGTCCTGTCAGTATTGCCGTTGGTTCGTTTTGTCTAGTTCCGTCTTTTATGTCCAAGGTTTTAGATGTTTGTGTGCGTTTTATTATTTCGTTTTGTTTGTCTTTGCTTTCCGATGTGAGTACTATTGCTGTTCTTGTGTGTCTTATAGTCGTGCCTTCTATGTCTTTTGGTTTTATTAATTTCTTTAGTTCCGTTAGTGTGTTTCCTGTTTCTCCTTCTTTCATTTTTATTATAGTATCGAACTTTTTGATTGGTTCCGGGGTGGTCCATTGTTTTTGTTCTTTTGTGTTGTCTTTTGTTACTGTCCGTTTTGTCAGTTGTGCGTATGTTCTTTGTCCTAGCGGAGGGAAGTCTGTGTATGTGTTTTGTGCGAGTGGGGTCTGTGTGGGTGGAGTTTGTTCTAATGCGGTTGTCGTGGGTTTTGTTTGTTCCTTTTTGTTGCTTGCTTGTGATATTTTTTGAATTTCCGTTTGTAAAGTTTTTAGTATGTCGCCTGTGTCGTTTGGCTTTGGTCTGTGTTCTTTTAGGAAGTTGTTCTCACTTTGTAATTTATTGATTTCTGTTTCTTGTATGATGAGAAGTGTTAATAGGTCTGTATATATGTTTGTAATTTCGTCAAGTCCGTTTAAGACGGCCCTTTGTTCTTTTAGAGAGAAAGCGATTTTTCCTCTGCCTTCCGGCGTCGTTCTTGTTACCGCCTCTTTTATCGTCTGTTTAAGTGTCTTCATGTTGTCGTTTGTTCTTTGTATGGTTGTCTGTGTCGCTGTGTGGTCTCGTCTTGTTTGGTTATCGTTAGCAGGTTGGTGATTAGGTTTTATGCTCACCTGAACTACTGAACTTCCCGCACCTTGCGTTGCACTCGCGAGCTTTGACCCGACACTTTCACTGTTTTCTTCGTTGGTCTTCTTTGACTTTTCGATTCTGGCCTGTCTTTCTTTTTCCTCTTTTTCTTTTTTCTCCATTGCTTCCTTTTCCTTTCTGATCATTTTTTCCATTAGTTTGGCCTGTTTGGCCATTTCCTCTTGATCTTTCGTCAGTTGTATTTTCAGACTCTTTAGATTTCGGGCTTCAGGGCTTTCTGCGTCTGTGTCCCTATCTCGTTTTTTGGCATTTTCGAGTGAGTCCTGGGATGCTTGGGCTGCTTCGTTGGATTGGGGATCTGATATTGAGAAGCTGCGTTGAAATGGTGTCTGTTTTGGCGGCGTCCTTTTAATGCTATCCCTTCTGGGGATATTCGCTGCGCCTTCCAGGGCTTTAATATCGCTCTCTAGTTTATTGATTTCTTCTCCGTCAGGTGACCCAAAAATTTCGTCTTCCATATTTTTAAATTTTTTGGAAAGTTTGTAGAAATCACTCAGGGCGAAAAAAAAGGCTGATTCTTGCAAGCAAGAATCAGCCTTATAAAACTGCGCGTGTCCGGTATATGCGACTGTTAAACTGAACTGCCAAGATTTAATGTCACTACGGTCACTTGCGCGGTTTTTGATTTAGTTCAAAATCAAGTTCGAATCTCGAGAACCGAGAACCGACTCGGGAGTGTCGCGGTTTCCAAGCTTATCAGCTCGTCGCAGAACCTGCGAGAACCTCAACGAGCGATATTTGCCGGTCGTCGCACTCACGATTTTCTTGATGTATTCGTTCGAAACCAAACACGAAGATCGCGTCGGTGTCTGTCGGTTGGCACTGGCGCGGTGATATTCCAATTTTAAAGGTGTTCTGCGCACGTATGGGGCCCTCACTTGCACTTCACTTTTAGCATCAGAATATTTTGGCACATGCGCGTCGCCTGTTTCTTTGACACCGGAGCCCTAGAGCTCGTTTGGATAAATTTCTCACTGGCGAATTTAACCTCACTTTTCGATTTAGAATAATAACAACTTACTTCGTACGCGTCCGAAGCTCAAGTGACAGTCTTTGGCTTGGTGGTTGGAGTTTTTGACTTAAATAAATCGGTACCAACGTACGTTGACAAAAGTCTAACAGTTTTCGTGTCCTGCCACAAAACCGAGAAAATGTCAATTCCAAAGGCATTTCCAATGTACTCTTCGGAATACCCGCGAGAAACTTTTTTAATTTTTAGAGTAGCGTCACTTGAAAGTTTGCAGGAAGGCACACGGTTTGTGCGCACCGTACCCAAAGAGTAGATTCCTCGGCTTCTTAGATATACCATTAGTCCGAGAGACGTGTAAAAGTTGTCAAAGTATATAATGTGATTGTAAAAATTGGGAACACGTTGTGATAAGCGAACTACTACATTAGATGATGCTCCAAGATTTGGACAATTTTGGGGGACAGTATTATCACCAGCACCCGCATATATTTCAAATGTATATGAAAAACCTTTACAGTCACAAAGAGAAAAAGTTTGATACCCCATTTATGAGGTTTTTTGGGAAGATACTGCCTAAGACTGGTTCCTGTCATCTTCGTCGCGCACATTTGTTCATCTACGGAAAGTCGTTGTAGCATAGGCACTGTAATAAACTGCCTGTTAAAATGATTAACAACTGATCTAACTTTATACAAGGGATCGTATCCTGCCCTTCCTTTTTCTATTGCCTTCGAATTGTCACTAAAATGAAGGTAGCGTCGGATTTCTTCAAATCGCAGTACTGGCATTGTCTGACGAATTGGTTCAAATGCATGTCTTCCCCAATATGATCGTACATTTGGATATTTATATACTGACATATATATAAGAACACCAATAAATTTTTGTAGCTCAGTTGACTTTAAAACGAACTTCGTCTGAATATCTGTTTGTCGTGCGTATAAGTTGGTCTGTTCGGTAATATGCTGAAACAATTCTTCATTCATAAAATAGCGAAAACAGTCATACGGAGTTTTCAATTGCTTCAAATATTTTGGCAATTCTTTTGGTCCTTGAAATATTAATTCATTGACGTGTACCTGAACCTTTTTCTTTCTCCATGTAATATTTTTCAATTCTGCACACTTGTTATTGACAGTCATAATATCTCCAATAAACGTTCCAGTAGTGGGGACATTAGGCCCACCTTCTTCTTCAATTAGGTCCGGTGATAGAGGACGTTTTGAACGTTTTTTGTATGTTGTGAGGGGTGCTGTGCTGGACCAGTAGCATTAGTCTGATCAGAAATTTCGTCATTAGGGATTGCAGATGATGAATTAGCATCGTTAGGTCCTATTGAAGTCTCACCAGTTGATTTCTCTTGATAATTCAGCTCGTCCAACTCATCTTCCGCAGTTACCAAATGATTTGAACACGTGTCGATATCATCATCAGTATCGCAATCTGATTCGTCCTCATCGCTGGTGTCAATATCCGTAGGGATCTCATCCATCATTTCATGGATTTGATCGTCAGTCATATTTTCTAAGCCCAAATATTTTCTTCGCCAAGCCATAACTGAAAATTTACATAATCTAAGTCTAACTTTTGATATTGCAGTTTCCTAACTTTTAAAGAACACTCAGTATAGTCTTCTACAAATATATAATTTTTCTTAAACAAGGGAATAAACGATTATTACCTCTCTTCCAAAAAATAAGACAAATCAATGAATAGCGCTAATTAATTTTTTTGATACTTCTAATGCATAGGTCCGCCTACAAGCGGTTAAGACTTTTATGGAGCTCTAGGAGCCCTAAATATTTTTTTGTAATAACCCTCACAAAAAACTAAAGGTATAAGGTATACACTACTTACCGATAATTTTTTCAGCGCCAAAAAACCTCTGGAAATATTTTTAAAAAATTCACGAATTCACGGTTCACAGATATCTGAATTTTATACCAGCTCTTGACAATACTGTGATTTTACACAGGTGTTATTTTTAAATGTCATTCGTAGCGGCAACCAATTATACACAACATCGTAGAGTGTGGTATAACTTTAGGGTGGGTTATACTTTAAACATAAAAATAATTGATTTCTAGATAAACTTTAGTGTTACAATCAAGTCCGCCTTGAGGCAGAGGAATGCAGTAGAGGGTTAAATACATTCGTATATTACATTGTCAACATTTTTGACATAATAAAAAACCTATAGGTTATAAAATGAATGGCGGGACCATCATGCCTGGGGGGCTTATAACATATGCGCATTATATCAACAGGTTAGTGCGCAACACATCCGCGCATATCAGTCCGTTTTACAATAATAAAATGATATTTAAATTTAAAGTACACTGAATAATTGAATAATTCAAATATATTTCGCTTAATAACAAAAGTAATACACGGTAAGTATTGTTTTAAAATTATATATTTATATAAATACTACAATTATTTGAAAAACATGAATTAATCAATTATTTGTACAATGTAAATCTGACTTTGGGATTGTCACCCGTTCGAACCGATACAATAACAAAACTGAACAAAACAATATGTTTATGGTTGCTGAATAAAACGTGGTAAGTACTTTTACTTTTATTTAATTTTAGTTTTAGTTTAAAAATGTTAAATTTAAAATTAAGCAAAGATATTTTGATGTTTTAACATGTGTTTAGAAGGTCCTGTTCGTAATAAATTCATAATATCTAATTGTAATAGGGTTGTTTGTATAAAGGTAAATAGTACAATTTACTGTACATTTTAAGAACATATTTTTTTATTTCCTTCCGATATTAAGCAAGGAACTAAATGATGCCGCATAAACTTCATCATTTCACTTGCGAAAAACCATTTATAGGTTACAAGACTGTAAATTGGCTTTACCTTTGGTACCCTTGAAAGCTAAATTAACAGTAGAGTGGTAATTCGGTAATTCAATGCGTTTATTTTTAAGGAGTGTTAATTTTTACGATTGTAACATAAATTGTAATTCTGTAAAAATAAAATTAACGCATACGTTAAATTTACAGAAAAATAAACATACGTTAAAAGTAGTTCAAATATGCCATAAAAGTTTGGTTAAGTTTTAAAGTCTGTCAAATAAATGTCATTCCTGTTGTCATATTTATTGTATCTGTCTGTTTTTGCACAAGAATATTGAAAAAAGTAGCAGCCGAATTTACTTTATAAACTATTTGGTAGACCATCAATTTTCAATATAAGCAAAACTAACCCGAGTAACCTTATAATAGTGCCTTTCTACGACAAAGCAATTACTAAATACAAAAAGTTTATATACACTATAAAAAATATAATTTCTAAATAGAATTGTGTAATTTCAACTGTTAAAATTACTTGAGTACTTTCAAAATGGTTCATTTTCATGATTTTCTTGCATTCAAAGTTAAATTAAAGATTCAAAAGTCATAATTTCTTATATGTTAAGTTTTAAAGCCTACTAATTAGTACCTGTTAATATCTTCGATTTAACGCATAAAAGTAACACATTTATGTTAAATTTTTAACATATTTCTACTTATAGAATAGATTTTTGCGGCACAAATGAACTATTATGTTAATTATGACAAGTTAAAATTTTTAATGAATTTACAGAATTGCTTTTCATATTTAACATACGTTATATTTTTAACATCCGTTAAATTTTAACATATTCGTTATAGAATTACCACTTAAAATGGCTATTAAATAACTTTTATAAAAAAAATTAAAATTCTGCAATTTTACCGAAGATATAAATAAACCTGTACATCATAATATGAGAAATAATGTGAAAGTAAAATAAAAATTATTTTCTTGTGGTTTTACACTTATTTAATTATATAATCAATTATATAGCAAACAATCATCTTTTTACTATCCAAATAACAGCCAATATTATTTAAAATTAATTCTGATGCCTTGGTAGAATTCCCCACTCGACCATTCACTGTTGGGTTCTAATTAACAGTGCTGTTCCTAAAGTGGCGTTGGGAAACAGTAACAAAGCCTACACAGAACACGAGGCTAATGACCTTAGCAGTCGATGCCGATGACACCAAATAAAAAAAAACAGTCAATAAACGTGCAATAAATTTCAATTTCAAATAAATTATTTGCCTCATCATATGACTTAACCATATGTGGTCCATCGTTGATAAAATACGTCACTTTATTTAAAAAAATGTCCAAATACCTAGTACTGAATTGACTATTTTGTTGATAAAATATGTCACAATTCGAAAAATGTCCAAATAGTACTAAAAATGGTACTAATTTGACTATTTTGTATCTAGAAGGATTTAAGTTTAGAACCTCTGCAAATAAATGTAGACTAGTATGGGGTAAAACGACGCACTTAAAACTTGACAACACGTAATAACCACATATATTATATGAATATAAAACCAACCGTGTTTAAAAATAAAACGACATTTATTTATAACTAATAAACATGTATTGCCAGTTCATTGCGTTGTTCTTGTCAATACTTTCGTAGTAATC